GAATTGCAGCGCCTCTGACGCCCGGACCAAACCTGCCCACAAGATGGTGTAGAATTATGCTTGATATAAAGAAGAATGAGCTTCAAAGTTTCACTCATGTCGGGAATCGACCTTCGAGACTAGACGAAATGTGCTTTTATGTTAGTTATTCTCGGTTTTTCACAGCAGTGTTTATGCGCTAAAATGAATACTTATTGTATTATTTGCATATTCGTGACGTGGGTTTCACTAAAGCGGCATGACCGCCTGGTCTCTGCGTCGCTCAGTTACATTTGTTCGCTAATATCAAACTGACATACCGTAACATTACTTAGTTTCCTCAAATGGGGCGTTAAATCAACTCACTCATCTGCATACAAATCTGTGAACACTGAGGCGGACCGGACGTCGGATGCCGGACGCCGGACGCCACGTCGTTGTATACGCTCAACTCCACTTCACAAGAACACAACTAACTATCTCACACAGATCCACTATAGATAGCTGTAACCTAAGAATACTGCAGGGAGTACTACACTTACTGTATATACGTCTACATACAGATAGTGTTGCCAGTGCCAATGCTCTCTGCAGGTTTCCGTGGCGCTCGACGTCCATAGCGCCAGTTCATCATAGGTCGGGCGTAGGAGAAGCTATTTATACCACGGCAGCTCTTGAAAGTACCTATGTGCACTTAAACCCGCCATGCTGGTGTGGAAGGCTGTCAGCGTAAGCGTGTCTTATACCTGTAGAGATACATCGCAAGCTAGGCTTTTATCGTTATAACACTGACCATATTCTGACGAGAAAGTGCTATCACAATTTCCATTATCGATAAGAAAAGGCACCATTAAATGCGTTTAACGCTACTTTGAATAGACTGTTAGTTTTTCCTTCTGGATCACGTTATTGTTCGAGAAAGGGGAAGGTCGGTGGTACGATCCCCGGCCGTGTCTTTCCAAAAGAGGTTAAAATGATAGTACTTGTTTTTTCCCTGCCTGGCATTTCGACATTAACGGGAGAAAACAAGGACCGGTCGGCTGGGAGTCAGTATACTGTGTCTGAGTAGAATATTCATAAAACTGCGGCATGGTATAGTGGGCGTATTAGTGCGAACTAGTACAAGGAACCACACGTTCGTCGTTCACGTCGTTATGTAAGTGCAATAATCTTGAAAGCGACGCTGGTCACATACAGTGAGTGAGTGAGTGAGTATGGTTTTGTGCCACCTTTAGCAATATTCCAGTAATATCACTGGAAATGGGCTTCACACATTGATATTAATAATAACACTACTACTACTACTACTACCACCACCACCACCATCACTACTACTACTACTACTACTACTACTACTACTACTACTACTACTACTACTTCTTACCCGTGAAGATTCGGGGTAGAATAGGTCCTCAGCAACCCACGCATGCCGTAAAGGGCGACTGTTTGTCGTAAGAGGCGACTTACGGGATCGGGTGATCAGACTCGCTGACCATGTTGATGCATGTCATCGTATCCCTAGTGCCTTGATCGATACTCATGACATAAAATACTGGATTGTCTGCTCCAGACTCGATTATTTACAGACCGCCGTCATATGGCTGGAATATTGCTGAATGCGGCGTTAAAAAACGAACAAACAAACTACTACTACTACTACTACTACTACTACTACTAATGTCACTTGTAGAGCGCAATTGCCCACGCACTGATGCATGCTCAATGCGCTGTCGAAGAGAAAAAGGATAGTAAGTTCTAGGCACCATGAAGAGATACGATTTTAGTTGTGGCTTGAAAGTTTTCAGAGTCTAGCAGAGTTGGATTTCGAGGGGTTTCCAGGCAAATTATCCTTTTCAAAGCCGCGTGAACGTTTACACCATGAGACAGTCACAGACGGTAGACGCCATGGTGTTGGGACATGAGACAGTCACAGGTAGACAGTAGACGCCATGGTGTTGGGGCATGAGACAGTCACTGGTAGACGGTAGACGCCATGGTATTATGGCATGAGACAGTCACAGGTAGACGGTAGACGCCATAGTATTGGGACATGAGACAGTCACTGGTAGACGGTAGACGCCAGGGTGTTAGGGCATGAGACAGTCACAGGTAGACAGTAGACACCATGTTGTTGGGGCATGAGACAGTCACTGGTAGACGGTAGACGCCATGGTGTTTGGACATGAGACAATGTCAGGTAGACAGTAGACGCCATGGTGTTGGGGCATGAGACAGTAACTGGTAGACAGTAGACGCCATGGTGTTGGGGCATGAGACAGTCACCGGTAGACGGTAGACGCCATAGTATTGGGACATGAGACAGTCACAGGTAGACAGTATACGCCCTGGTGTTGGGGCATGATTCAGTCACTGGTAGACGGTAGACGCCATGGTATTGGGACATGAGACAGTCACTGGTAGACAGTAGACGCCATGGTGTTGGGGCATGAGACAGTCACCGGTAGACAGTTGACGCCAGGGTGTTGGGGCATGAGACAGTCACTGGTAGACGGTAGACGCCATTTTGTTGGGACATGAGACAGTCATAGGTAGACGGTAGACGCCATGGTGTTTGGACATGAGACAATGTCAGGTAGACAGTAGACGCCATGGTGTTGGGGCATGAGACAGTCACTGGTAGACGGTAGACACCATAGTATTGGGACATGAGACAGTCACCGGTAGACGGCAGACGCCATGGTATTGGGATATGAGACAGTCACTGGTAGACGGTAGACGCCATGGTGTTGGGGCATGAGACAGTCACAGGTAGACAGTAGACGCCATGGTGTTGGGGCATGAGACAGTCACTGGTAGACGGTAGACGCCATGGTGTTAAGACATGAGACAGTCACAGGTAGACAGTAGAGGCCATGGTGTTGGGTCATGAGACAGTAACTGGTAGACGGTAGACGCCATGGTATTTGGACATGAGACAGTCACCGGTAGACGGTAGACGCCATGGTGTTGGGGCGTGAGACAATCACTGGTAGACGGTAGACGCCATGGTATTTGGACATGAGACAGTCACAGGTAGACAGTAGACGCCATGGTGTTGGGGCATGAGACAGTCACTGGTAGACGGTAGACGCCAGGGTGTTGGGACATGAGGCAGTCACCGGTAGACAGTAGACGCCATGGTGTTAGGGCATGAGACAGTCACTGGTAGACGGTAGACGCCATAGTATTGGGGAATGAGACAGTCACCGGTAGACGGTAGACGCCATGGTGTTTGGGCATGAGACAGTCACAGGTAGACAGTAGACGCCATGGTGTTGGGGCATGAGACAGTCACTGGTAGACGGTAGACGCCATGGAGTTGGGGCATGAGACAGTCACTGGTAGACGGTAGACACCATGGTGTTAGGGCATGAGACAGTCACCGGTAGACGGTAGACACCATGGTGTTGGGCCTTTCGCGTACTACATATCCGCATGTCAAATCACACCAAGAGTGTAGTGTCTTCGGAGTTGCCATGGGTACCAGACACTATTACGGTAACAATGTTACATGGTAACCACACGGTAACAGATACTTATTATACGTTTTGAAGTCCCCTCTCTAAACGTATTACAACTTCTTGAAGTTCTCTTTGTTAACGTTTTACACGATTTAAAGTTCTCTTTCTCTACGTTTTACAAGTTTTCAAGTCCTCCTCTTTCCTTACTTATTACCCGTTTCATTGATAAATACAACCAGATCTACTTCTAGATGAATGACACTTTAACGTTAACGACAACTGTACAACTGTGTAAGTAAATGCGACCAATCTTCATGGATTCGATCATACTTTTCTCTGTCGAGGTCGATATTCCACGCTACAGCTTGCATACATAAATGTGAATTAATCTTTACGCCGCAGCGTTTCATGACAGCAGGACAGTACATGTGACCAAAGGTACGGACGAAACCCTGCCCACAGTTACCTGAGAGTACCGAGGGCTAACAATGACTGCCGATGGGTATCCAATAATAATAATAATAATAATAATAATAATAATAATAATAATAATAATAATAATCGTATGTTGTGTGTACACAAACCATCTATCTATTGTCAACTAAAAAAGTCGGATATCTTCAACACACATCTCACATAAACCTGACTCACATAAAAACACACACAAATAGTTTTAAAAATGGTTTAATGAGCGATATTTTCACAGCTGAACGATGTTGAGCAAGATATAATACCGTCATTTCATTTCAATCATCCTGAATGCCTCCGCACCATCTGTTGAAACACATCATAAACTGCCATTTTCCGAGTCATATTCTATGTACAGTTTAAAGCACAAATAAATCTTTCAGCAAAAAAACAAAGTAAACAACATACATTAATAATGTGTACTTGTGATAATATCCTCGTTTATCAGGGGACTTCGGCACTCTAGAGTTGTGTACCTTGATAAAGGAGGATGCAGAGAGGCATATACTGTTTCTCCTCGCATTGTCTACCCGTTAGCTCTAGGAAATCACTGAGCTTTCACGAAATATCAGGACCCAGGAATATTATGCACACATCAAATTAATAGTTCTTGAATAGAAAATAGAAAGTTAACCACATTAGCATCGGTCAGTGCCGTAATGGGACATCGCACGTCCATGAGATTTACCGAAGCATCCCATATGTCATAATGCTGACATTTTCCATTCCTACGATAGATCAACAAGGTAATGTACACATGGTCTTGAAGTTTATAGAACACTGACGATCGTGGTCTAAACGGGTCTGATCTAACTACTGAATATTTTTCCTCTCAGTATGCTTTAGAATACAGTTCACTCGCATCTTGATGTAACAAATTATGCCTCTCTCTGTTATGTAAACAAACAAAGGCTTTTTCACAACAAGAAAGTAATATGTTTAACAGAGTGTAGGAAGTACATGCACCTTATCGTAAACAGTAAACAAGCTGAGAAGTTCATAGATGAAATGTCACATATGAATAGTAAATACCCAATCCGTGATTCTGACAAATGAGGGACCAACAATGATTTTGGGGGAGGGGGGGGGGGGGGGGGGGGGGGGGGGGGTATGTTAGGGGGATGGTGGTTGATCGGGGAGGGTGACCTGGGATTTTTATGCAGAACAATACTTATCTCAGTCATTTCTTCAAAACAAACGATTTGTTTCTCTGAATGGAAGAGCAAGACACATTACTTGGGACCACAAGCAATATGTCTCGATACCACTTGGAATTCGCTTCCATCATTTTCGGAAAAATAGCTGCTCCTGCCCTCCCCTACCTACAGAACATCAAATAGCCAGCCCTAATGTATGTTTCATTAGTGTATCATTTGAAGCTTTATATGATAGATAGTCACGATATGGTTGCAATATTGCCGATGTGACGTTAAATATTAACTCACTCACTCACTTATATGATAGACAAATTGATGTTTGTATTGCATTGGATCTGCAGCCCATCGGTTTGGGTATGCATCTTTTCAGAATACAGTGGAAACCTCCTTAGTCGATCCTTTAATGAACCAGACATACATTATTTTTGGCGCCTGCGATTTTGAGCTTACGACACACGGAGGTTCCAAGTACGATAAAACTAATAACGACTATTGACATAAACGTGGTTTTACGTTACACTACCATATGAAACTAATGTTTGTAGGTTTACGGTACAAGGTATCCTGCCATGTCCGTGGTACCGCGATGATGTTGCTGCAAGACAATAGTTGTGTACAATGGGTATGTTGAGAATGAATTAACCTTTTCAATTTATGGCTCAACACCTTAATAATAGTTTTCATTTAATACCATACTTCATTGATGCAACCCCTTACACTATGTTAATTATGCATCATTCCGTTGTGCAAAGCCGTGAACAAAGAAAATAATTTAATGTTTAAAAACGGAAAATAATTCTTCATGATATTGTCTCTGTAAATATGGGATTCGCAGAGTCTGTGAATGGAACATTTTAAGACTTCGTGACGCTGATGAATTATTATTGTATAACAGTAAAACATCCAGAGGGCTTGGACGCATCACACAGAGGTAACCAGGTTATTGGGGGTGGCAAAACACACGTTGCAAACACGTGGGTATCACAATAATGATGCGTGTCACGCACTGAAACGGGTCTTAAAGAAATATAGCATACAGTAAACTGCTGATGTAGACGATTGAGTAAAACGTCTGAAGGAATCTAATCCTTTACAAATTCTCTATTACCATACATTTAGCTCTGAAAATAGATTGGGTGGCAGTTTTCACATTTTATTATATTTGTTTTCAGAGCTTACGGGCCTTGATTACCCGTTGAAACACAAATACCCCCAGAGAAGGACTTCACACATTGATGTGTGAGAATCGAACGCCGGTCGTTGGCAAACATTTTAACCAATTGACCACCTGACCAGTACACAGACAACACAAGTGAGGTGTTGCAGTGCCCCCCTCCACACTTCCACGAGGAATAAGGTTGCAGTCCGGGAACGGTAGTATTATACAGTATTAGACTTTTGATAGGGACACTCGGATATGTCATTCTATATAAATATACACTCGACATATTATGAGAATCAGTTTTGTATGTCATGGTAACATACAAATATCCCTATCAAAAGTTGAGTTGTATGTTATCAAATCTTTTGGTTCAGCAAAAATAAGGTGACACAATAAGTTGTTACTTAAATGACAAACACAAACCAACAGAAATGTGATATGAGGCAATTGGCAAGTGAAATACTGTCCATTATGGACAGTTGTTGTGTAACAGCATTGGCCATTCATTAATTTACTCATTGTTAATCAGAGCGCTAATCTTAATTATCGTAAAAAAAATTCCCTGATATGAATTTTCTAATTCTGATAAAAGGCACATAATGACATCTTATTGTTGCATAAAGACTTATGGAGCCTTAGATTCAAGGCTTATCCAAGAGAACCTGTCCGAATACACATACGGATACATGCACATAGCCTACCCGAACAAAAACAATTAATTTCTGACACTGTAATATTCTTACCACAATCACTTGAGGTAAAGGTTGAGGACATATAGCCTCTAGAGACTGAAAACACTGAATAATAACCATGATCATAATAATATTGAATGAATTAATTATGCAATACTGTCCGTGATATTGTCACTGCGGAAGAGGGGAAAACATGCCCACTTTAATACACTACAGCACCTGTGAAATAACTTCCCTGTAGAATACGCAATGACGTCACAGGCAAATGACGTCACGATAACGCCCTTCTTGCAGAACACATGTAGAGATGCCGGACACGTCAATCACTGGCAAATTTCAGGATATATAAACTGGAAGTACTGTAGTAATACACGAATACGCACATATACGAACATAGAGCACAAAGTCATGACACGAGAGCTAGTTTTTCATAGTTCTATATAGAAGCTTTCTGCTCATGAATCTCAACCGGGTTTCAGTTCACACAATGTTTGCCATATGATAGGTAAAGCTAGCACTCACACTCAAGCTTAATAAAACACTTGAAGGCTTGGATCATAGTTAACATATTCGTCCATTTGGTAGTTGGGATCAGGAGTTAATTGGACTATTATAAGCTATCGCCGCATATAGAATACAGACAATGGGTCCCGTAAATACGGATGGTTTGAAGTTAGTATCAGTCTTATGCAAGAGCTGCCCATGTCAATAGCTGCGCAGGTCAACATCTGCGCATGTCAAAAGCTGCCACGTCGAGCATAATACAACCAAATGACCAATCAACTCCAGGAATAACGGAATCCATGTATCCTCCAATTTAGTTGGTAATAACCGAAGATCGTAAATGGCATGACAACACCATTGACGTCCATCCTTTGGATTAAAACTGGTTCGTGTTATCCGGATTCGTTATATCGGAGTTGAATGTACCATCTTAAAGAACGTAGCCAGCGTTTGGACGTGTCTGTGACGTGACAGTAACAACTCGATTCCCTTACGCCTTCTTAAACGACTTCTTCACACGATACGTCCGCTGGCTGTTCTGTTGTGAGTGGGGCAGTAGAGGCAGCAGATTTGTCAGACTTTTGTCGTCGTGGGCCGTCGGAGTAGTATCTGTGGCAGTAGGTGCAGTTGATGACCTCGTCGAAACAGTCACCAAGGTCCGTCGACAGCTTAGAGTACAGCACTGGCCGGATGGCTTTATCCACTAGCAGGAGACACAAGAAATAGTCATTGATGACTGAAAGGTTCTTGATGTAGTCGTGGTCAGGGTGGTCGTACGCGTTGTTGTAGACGAGGGTGGTAACGTGATGGGGGAGTTCACAGATGACGAAGCTCAGCACCACCGCTGACACCAATCGGGACATCTGTTTTTCATGCCGAGAATAACTATCTGCGAAGTAGCGCTTCCCAATGTAGTACGTGGTAGCGTATATCAACAGCATCATTGTAATGGGAACAAAACATGAGAAGGAGCTCGTCAGCCAGACCTCCTTATCGATATCGGCGTCTTGCGTGTACAGACATGCGTCGTCCTCATGTACCCACACTTGAATAACTGGAACTGTCGCCAAGGCTCCAACCACCCACACCACGATACTGCAGTACAATGCATGGCGTCCAGTTGGCGAGGAGTGACCTCTGTTTGTCAGCAGGATGCCTCTAAGAACTGTCATGACAACCAGATGGTATGCTGCTATGTAGGAAGTACCGTTCATGAGGTAGCGGCTGCATTTGCACCATGATGTTGACATGACGCCCAGGACACGCAGTATATCCATCATATGCGAAGGCACGGCGATAACCAGATGAAGCATGTCCGCTACAGCTAGGCCCCCCATGATCACAAAGACGTCGACGCGAAGGTTCCGGTACATGCACAGTGCCCGGACAAAAATCAGGTTACCGATTAGTCCAACTAGAGCAGTTATTCCCATCAATATGAGGACCACGAGGACGTCCTGACTGAGGACCATCAGAGGGTCCTCGGCCAAACTCTCGTCCGGTTCTGCCGTCATCATCTGATCCATCTAAATATCTAAGTAGGTTCCAGCCGTCGGTTGTAATGCTTACATTTCACTCCGATGACTTTAAAGGTTGTGCAGGAACTCTGAAACGCAGAAACATAGGTGTAAGTTAAAGTGACAAAGAAACAATGTTCGATTATTTCCTCCAGACATATCTATTCAAGGATTTATATGGATTACAATGTCATGAAATATTCTTTTCTTTTTCAACTCAAGCGACACAAGTATCAAATTAAAGAAGTCATTTTTGTGTTTTGATTGGTTGGTGGGTTTGTTGTTTAACGCCGTACTCAGCAATATTCCAGCAATATGACGGCGGTCTGTAAATAATGGAGTCTGGACCAGACAATCCAGTGATTAATATCATGAGCATCGATCTACGCAACTGGGATACCATGACATACATACAAGTAAGCGAGCCTGACCACCCGATCCCGTTAGTCTCCTTTAACGACAATCATAATCACCTTTGACGGCAAGCATGGGTTGCTGAAGACCTATTCTACCCCAGAATCTTCACGTGTTTTGAACCAATCTTGAGACATGACAGATAGTATTATTTAATGTAAAATAAGTTTAGGTTACAATACAACTGTTGTTTTCAACTCTGCAATAACAAATTATGCAAAACATAAACATTTGATAATTCATAACACGATATATTAAAAACATGGGGAAAAGACAATGTTTACATTTTTTAGCAGAAACTTAAATTTCTGAATGTATTAAAAAGAAGTTAATGTAGGGGAAGCATTTGCAATGGATTATTTCATAAGTGGCAACACATAATATGTAAGACAGGCATTTAATATTGGAATACTGTAGTGATCTAAAATTTTAAAGAAAATGACAGTTTTTCTTGTTTCTGGGAAACTGTCCCTTTAGCTTCCAAGAACCACCTTTGAACTGAAATCCGATTTCTACTTTCTGCCCTACGAATTGTGATCTGAAGTGGAGCTCTCTTTTCAAGTTCAAGTTTGTCCCCTATGTTACCAACCATTTCGACATATATCAACTTGGCATGCTCGGTTACTTGTTAAGATCCTCACAGCTTCGCAGTGAATATGCCATGTTCTTCCATTTCTAGGGAGTGTTACTTGGTTTAAGATGTAACATGACATAGAATACTTCCCTCCTGTTACTGTCCCTGCTGTTATCATGAAATTAATAACAGCAGGGACATATTTCCCAGGGAGTGTTACTTGGTTTAAGATGTAACATGACATAGAATACTTCCCTCCTGTTACTGTCCCTGCTGTTATCATGAAATTAATAACAGCAGGGACATATTTCCCAGGGAGTGTTACCTGGTTTAAGATGTAACATGACATAGAATACTTCCCTCCTGTTACTGTCCCTGCTGTTATCATGAAATTAGTAACAGCAGGGACATATTTCCCAGGGAGTGTTACTTGGTTTAAGATGTAACATGACATAGAATACTTCCCTCCTGTTACTGTCCCTGCTGTTATCATGAAATTAATAACAGCAGGGACATATTTCCCAGGGAGTGTTACTTGGTTTAAGATGTAACATGACATAGAATACTTCCCTCCTGTTACTGTCCCTGCTGTTATCATGAAATTAATAACAGCAGGGACATATTTCCCAGGGAGTGTTACCTGGTTTAAGATGTAACATGACATAGAATACTTCCCTCCTGTTACTGTCCCTGCTGTTATCATGAAATTAATAACAGCAGGGACATATTTCCCAGGGAGTGTTACTTGGTTTAAGATGTAACATGACATAGAATACTTCCCTCCTGTTACTGTCCCTGCTGTTATCATGAAATTAATAACAGCAGGGACATATTTCCCAGGGAGTGTTACTTGGTTTAAGATGTAACATGACATAGAATACTTCCCTCCTGTTACTGTCCCTGCTGTTATCATGAAATTAATAACAGCAGGGACATATTTCCCAGGGAGTGTTACTTGGTTTAAGATGTAACATGACATAGAATACTTCCCTCCTGTTACTGTCCCTGCTGTTATCATGAAATTAATAACAGCAGGGACATTTTAGTAACAGAAGGCAAGGAGACAGTGTTACATGCAACAGTTTCAGACACTGCTTTATGAATGCATTTGTTAAGCTTCTCGTGAAGTGTATGTGAATTTGAGACACACATTTCAAATACTAGTACTCTGAACATGTTGCCTGGGCATATTTTACTTTAATTAAAAACCCAGCAGGGACAATTTGAACATTTACTTTAACCGTAATGTATCATACATATCACTGACATTGCATGGACGATAGGGGAAATAAAGTGTTTTGTTATTGTTTTCCAAATGTCGATGCTGTCTCAACTGCTTAGCAAGCAGAAAAGTAGAAATCAATTGTTTCATATCAGTAAAGTTATTTTGTTACGTCTACTTTTTCTCAAATATAAGTTTTACCTGCGGTAACAGGAAACTTGACGTAGAGTTTGCCAATTGGCATATAAAGCTAGAAAAAAGATTAAGAGATTCGGGTATTGTATTTTCATAAAGGTCATGTATTTATACAAAATTATACGACTTTTTAACACAAACAGGTTTTGACATTTTTGCCATTTAGAAAATCTGACATTTAATGAGAATGTGCCTGCTATTGTTCTCTCTTGACATTCTCGTCAATCTACTGTCACGTATGTTTACGGCCGCATCAGTCAATATTCCAGCATGTCACGGCGGCCTTGATCTGGTCACGTAACATCAGTACATCACTAGTAGCATGGTATTGTGTAACGCAATCAGCAATGTCATATGGCTCAACATTTACCCGGCCCATGCAAGATCGGGCACCGAACATTGGAGCGAGGATGGGAGCGAAGATGGGACCGTAAACGATGACGTGCCAACTTTGTGTCAGCCTCGTTGAAAGACTATCGCTTCAATTGGTTGTCATCATTTGGAACCTCCACTATTGACTATTTCTATTTGTGAGCGAGTGAGTGAGTGAGTGAGTGAGTGAGTGAGCCATAAACCTACCATATCCATGTACCTAAACAAATAGTTGCCATGGATACGTAATGGTCGCAACATCCCTTATTTTTAATTTCCTGAGCCTCATGGAGTCCGAAAAAGATTCTTGAATGTTTTCATAATATTTTTCATTTTAATATTGGTTTTTTTTCCGCGAATCAGTTAAAATGACGCATCTCTTCTACGTTTGTTACTTTGGTGAAACCCAAGCACGAAATGATATTCTGGCACATCCATGGGACGCAACTCCGTATAGCGAACAGTCTTACAGACCGTTAGGCAATCATGCCCCCCAGGAAGACTTTGTCATCACCTCCTCTCAGCAATCAGTCCGATACCAAAGTTACGCTACTGAAGGTGATATAATCCCAGTTTTAAAACAGCTATAGATTTCTTTCCGAGGACATATATATATATATATATATATATATATATATAAACATGATCCTTCAAACACAGTATCTCAGTAGGGCTCGTTCAAAGGACAGCGACATATGCACATATATTATATCTTTCCTGAACAGTCATCATAGCACCTTTCATAGCTACTGAAATGTTTGAAATAACAATGAAATGCTCTTGTATGGTATTTAGCAGTAGTACAATGCAACAATACACGAAACAGCTGCTTTTAGTGAGAAAATATTGTTTTTTGTTTTGTTTGTTGTTTAACGCCGCACTCGGCAATATTCCTGCTGTACGACGGCGGCCTGAAAATAATCGAGTCTGGACCAGACAATCCAGTGATTGACATCGTGAGCATCGAACACGCAATTGGGTTACGAAACTGCGACCTTGACCCCGTTCCGAAAACACTATGGCCACTACCTATTCAACCTCTGCAGCCGGCACCATTAACTCGGGTAAATGTCATCAACAGCATGTGTTCATTTACACCATCGCGACACATGTCAGCGTGTTGGATTCCATCCACTATGGAGAATACAGCAGATTCATCAAAAACCTTATCGCAGCGGAATCGAAATTAATCCCATATGAAATATATACTCACGACACCTGCTGCACCAGTCACCAGACAAGCCCGTTGAAACCGCATGCAGAACACCGAGCTATCATTGTCAAGGCGGAGACTGAGATGGAGGTGGGCTACCCCCTTTTTATATAAACATAATCACTAATGACATGCGCTGCAGGATGACAAAACAGTTCCTTCCAAGCCAATGAAAATGGCAAAAGGTTACATTAGCCTTGAAACCGCTCACAGAGAGCCAGTAGGAAATCTTCAAGAAACTTTGACAATCAACATGGTCACGATCTATTGACATAATACAGGCGGAAAACGATCAGCGGGATCTCTTGTATTTTTAGAATAAATATTGATCAGGTATTGAATAGGATCGGATATCATTGGTTTTGATCAAGAGGATAACAATCGCTCTGGCCGGATTCATTTAAGAGCAATATTTCAAGAGCATTTGTCGAGTTTGAAATTTCCCTTGCTTAGTTAGAAGAAAGTCTCATTGAGGAAACGCTGGTTGAAATTTGATATAATTGACAAACAATTCTACAAAAGCAAGTCTTGTTTCCCAGTGTTCAAAACCGACTTTACATCGCTGACTTTAACTACAAGTGCATGGTCATTAACAGTTTATTTTTGTATTGGAGTTTTAATGGGAAAACAAAATCCAAATATGATATTCTTACCCTGTCCGTGCGAATATCTGAATTAGGTCATCAACATGGCTATTCCAATGTGGTCGTCGACTGTACAGAGATTCACCAGAAGAGATGGCGATGTCTTTAAATCATTGAGACGCAACGCCATTATACTTCTAAAATGTCGACGCAGCAAGTGATTGTAAAGAACTCTGCGCAGCAAAATACGGCATCTTACACGATTGAGCCCCATGACCCAAACTTTCCTGAGGCTAAACTTGCGCGGCGGTTACAAAACATGCACCAATATCTGTTCAGAAGAGCGCGCTAGATTAGTCTGCCTGTTGCATGCTCGCGTCCGATCGATGCCAATCACCAAGCAGCTCATAGGTTCCCAGACGCTTTGTTCAAGTACTTGGATACTCTGTTTCATGTTTTACGTAAATCCGACTGAGAGAAGACTTACAGGAGTGTCCGACAAGTTGACATGTTCT